CTCACTCGACTGATTCTCTGAATCATCGTCTAGCGGCTGGGCTTGGCTATTTTCACATCCTTTGTCCGGATGACCCGTGTTGTACCGGGTAGCCAAACTCTATAGGATAGTCCGTCCTCGTGGATTCCGACGATTCTGCCAGGGAGACTTCGGTCATCTAATTTCTTTCGATTAGGATCTCGATTATAATAGTTGCAGGGTGTACCGAAGGCTTGAATCTTCTTGAGAAAAGGTTTCCGGCCATGGATAATTTCGAAGGGAGTTTTGTCCCTTTGTGCACTTTGACACAATTCAGGACATGTGCGGCGAAGTTTACTCCTTCAGCCCACAGTCCTTTCGGGAGTTTCGCATCAATTAGCATGGCTCGATTAAAATTTAGAAGCGTGCGATTCAAGCGTTCGATGACACCATTTAGCGTGGGAGTATAGGGCGGCGAATAACTGATCCCAGCGCCTATCCTATCCATAACTTCGGCAACTCTCTGATTCTTAAATTCTCCTCCTTCATCTGATTTGAAGTGGTAGATATCGTGACCGGTCTGGTTCTTGAACCATCGAGTGAAAGACTCGATACAATCTGGCACTCGGTCCTTCGATTGGACAAAGTAGACTTTGTCCAATCGACTCATGTCATCACTCAGAGTCAAGAAATAAGCAGTAAGCACTGCCATAGGACCTGTTACTGACGGCGCAAGTATCGGAGAAAATGTAGCCGGGTCGTGGAGCTCTATCGCTCATCGGTCTAGACCTATTTACCGCACGCGGCATCTTTCCGCGGGTACACGATTCACAGACTATGAAGTCATTCTCTATCTCATGTCCTTCTCGCTGCAGCATCTTTTTCACTTGATCAACGTTGATGTGCGCAGAGGTCTTGTGCGCCTTCGAGAGACTGATCTCTTTCTGAACTCAAGTACTGATGTTAGCTTCTGGAATTTCCGTAGCTCGAACAACATAGAGATTGTTGCATCTCTCCGCGTACACTTTTACACTGTCTCGTACTGATCTGATGTTATCTTTGGTGACCTGAATTTCGTAACCATCGTCAGCCAATTTAGCTACTGATGTAAGATTTCGACGCAAGCTGGGAACGTGCAAGGTTTCCCTTAGTTCAAGAACTTGCGTTTTATCTTGTGACGAGACTGTAACCAGCGCAGTTCCGGAGCCTCTTACTTTCAGCACTCGCGCTCCGCCTAGCCTAACTTCACGATGAGACTCGAAGGCTTGATAGTCGACCATCCACTTACGACTTGAACACATGTGATGGGTCGTTCCGCTATCAACTAGGAATTCCTCACCCAAGTCGTTGAAGTTCACCTCAGCCAGTTCCACATTGAGGGCTCCAGAGAAGTTGGCTTGCGGCGGATTCTGTCGTTGGGGCTGGTTTCTTCCGCGGTTGTTGTTGTTGCGATTCTGATTTCTGTTGTTGTTGGTGTTATTTTGGCGTGGGGCTCCGCACTGGGCCTGCATGTGGCCCTTCCGGTTGCAATTGTAGCTCACGACTTCTGATGATTCTGAAGACGTCGTTCTACGTCGTGAGAAACTTCGTTGGTAGTTTCGTCGAGGGGTGTTGCGGTTGATGTTGAGTCGGGAGAACATAGCGAGTGCTTGATTGTCATTGGCACCGCGTCTCACAATCAGACGATTGCCAAGCTGGCAAGAACAATGCTCATAGCAGCAAACTTGAATTATACCTTATGAGCAGAGGCCTGCCTGTGTGCCACGTATCTCCTGAATATTACCACGATATGCCCCACAACCGAAAAATCCACATACGAAACGATATATAAAGTTCCGCCCAACCTATCAAATATACGTCCTTTAGGCTCAAGCTGCTATTATTAATTAAGTCGCGTTTATCACCAGTTCTTGGTGTGTTTGTGTAAATAAGATTATTTGTTCTTTCTACAGGTCTTTCCAGTCAAAGGTCCTTGTGGCGCACTGTCCTAGACGATCACTAAATGAAGACGCTAAAGAATTCAAGTGGAGAAATCCGGAAGTGGGCGCACTATGCGTAAATGTTCGCCGGGCTAACTAGCGGGTCTGATCCCTGGCCTAGCCGCTAACTTCACTGCACTGGGGGTTTGGAACCCTTTGGGATGATGATTCTGAGATTTTGATGTAGGCGCTCTGTGGATCGCCACTCTCGATCTCTGACAGATTGTGCGTGTGTGTGTGTGTGTGTGTGTGTTGACGGCTCGATGTTTCCGCCGGCCGGGTGCTTGACTGTTAACGGTGGCGCCGTGAGCGGGAGAAACCGGTATGATCGATCCGCGCCGCGCCGGGTGTGTGTTTGCTATCTGAGTGCGCCCGACTTCCTAGGAGTTTATTCTTATCTCTCCTGGAGATATAATCGAGATTGATAATGATTATACTGTACACTGATTAATAGGACATGAATAAATATGGATCCTTGATCCGAAGATTCCCCAATAAGTCTCTCTCTGAGGAAATAGCTGAATGGGTTATGGGAAACTAGAATCTGTTGGGAAGGATAGTGTGCTGTGAGTGTAGTGCATGCGCAATGGACCTAGTCCGTTCGTCACACTCCCCCCCGGAATTCCCGGCACCCGGTGTCGGGAATTCTGTTAGAAAGGCATTGCCACGCGCCACTGATTCGAATTTAAATTTTCCCTCTATGGAGAGGGAAGGGATCGACTAACGGGAAGCGCGCGGCAGAATCGGCCTTTTCGTCTCGACACCGAGAGAAGTCGGACGTGAATTCCGCGTAATTGTGGTTCTTCTATCTAACAAGATACGTTCAAGGAACACGGCATGCAGCAACCAATGGGAAACCGCCTCGGCTATCGCTGGTCCCCCAGGGGGTTAGTTCACAGACGAGGTGAGGCGAATTGATTTGACGTAAATTCCGAAGGTTTGATGATTTGTGAGGCTGGAGGACTGCTGTTTCTCCTTGAGTGGTGAAGGATTTCTTTTCTTTTCAGTTGATGTACAAGTATCTCATGCTCAATCATTATCCTCACAGGGAGGTCGACACCATCACCGGCCTCATCTGGGGGTCCTTGACCGCCGCCGAGCGCCGACCCTATCAAGCCGCCTCGAAGTGTGCTCAGCGAGGGGTGCGCGGGCGGCGCCGGGTCAGCTTGGGCTGACTCGGCTCCTTAAATTCTGCGTGCCCCCGAGCTGGCACGCGGAGAGGTACGTGTGTACCTTGCAAGCGCAATCGGCCCTCGGCCGCCCAGTCACCCTCCAGGAGGGGGAGCAAGCGAATTTTACTCCCAGTTGTCGTTGTACCTCCGGGAGTGCCATCGTGCGGTACCACCGCTATGAATAAATGACCGGCAGCCGAAAAATGGCGTTCCGAGATGCTGTGGTGTCTTTTGTGGCGTACACACCTCTCAGAAGAGGTCCTGAGCCTCGAAGGAGAATGAGGACACAAGATTTGAACTTGTCGGATCCACGTGGGGTGTGCCGCGCAAACGAGATAACTCCCGGGGAGATCCCAAAGTGATGGAAACTCTCCTGGAGATGATGGGATGATAACGTCGGAGGGATCGAACCTCCGGTCGCGAACTTGATTGAACTTGATCACTTGGGAAACACTCGGGATTTGAACCCAAAACTGAGATTCCCGAGGAGCGCTGCGGCTGCCTCGGTACCTTGATCGTGATAACTGATGATGATCAGGCGGCGTTCTCTGCCACTGTCGCCACTGACGACCGCAGTGTTTTTAACACCCCTCTGCACTCGTCCAGCTGATTGAAAAGACAGCTGACGCGAGGCAGCTGACGGTCAGCGCTGCGCTGATAGACGTACCTACGCGCTTGCACACCCCAGTGCTTATATATTGACGTTCATAAATATAATAATGGGACTGCTTGTCCTGGACAATGGATGGCGGATTAACCGCTGAATTAGATATTTATAATTGAATGACAGTTACTCGTTCCCGACTCGATCTCTCTGTGTGTTATGTGCTGATTGTATGGTGTACTGATTGGGCGAGGTGTGTGTTTTCTGCAAGCTGTGACGCGACGGCTACCTCCGCCCGTGACAGTCCCCCCCCGAATTCCGGGAAGACTCCACGAGGAGCCGCGGAATTCTGTTGACCAGCAAGTTGCGACTTAGAGGGACCACTGCTCCCCGCTTCGAAAACTCGCGCCAATGTAGATCGCGCCGCCTGACGGCAAGTTCTGCTCTCTGGTGCGCTGATCCGATTATTCCTTTCCATGCGCGGTCTCGTCGGAAGTGGATCTGTGATCAAGTGTGTTCCTCATCTTTGAAGAATGGCTGAAGAAGCTCCAGGAGCCCGCAGATCTGGACATCCTTACTTTCTCACCCCTCTTGGCTTGGTCTACAAGCTGTTGTTGGAGAATGATCTGAAGAATACACATCTTCGTGTTCGCGATTGTCAGTACATTGCAAGGCATTTCTGGTTTGACCTTACTGACGAAGAACGGCAGCCGTTCAGGGATTTCTCCCGTTTTCTCTTAAGGAGAACGACCACTCGGCCGCCGGAGCCCCTGTTGAGCCGACAGTTCCGCTATCGTCCACCACTCTTTGCGGCCCATGCCGGTGCCTACCTTCGGCTTCTGGATAATATGCAGACTGGCGAATCCCATCAACTCACGGTGCCTCTTGATCGTGAGCCGATTAACATCTCCTGGCCGGATATCCATGGTTCTGACGAGATAGCCGAGGGAAACGAAAGGCGGCGAGCCTATCTACAGCAGTTGATCCAGGATCCTCGCATCGCGCCGCAACATGAGCGGCCGCCAAGGCCGGTCGACCCCCGGACCGGGCAATATGTGTTGCCGCCTACCCCACCGGCTCCTGTCCAGCGTGTTCGACGCCGTCCGCCGGCCCAGCTTTCTCCGGGCCTGGCCGATGTTCTGGTCAGCTTGCGGAACGCCAGGCGTTCCGGCAGGAGTTAAATCTTCCTCCAATGTGTTCCAAATTATTTCTTCGACAAAATAAATGTCTGTGTGATTAAGACTCAGTTTTACTTTTTGGGAGATCGGGTCGGTTCTCAAGAAATGCCTAGTTCGGCTGGGAATGCTCTATCGGGAAGAGTTTCGTGATGGGACGGTTGAAGATTTGGCCCGTGGCCGTCTTGATTGTGCATGATTTCGATTTTTCAGGTGCGGACTCGTTCTTGAGTGCTATGACCTTACAGAGGGGCCAATACGCCCGGTTGGCGTTCGAATCTTCCAGCAGACAAATGTCGCCGATTTTCAGCGGCCTGGCCGGAATGGGGAGTCTGTTATGAGCAGATCTTAGGTAGCTCAGGTATTCGCGGTGGAATCTTTTCCAGAATGAGTTTAGGATCCTCTGTTGGTAGGTCCATCTCCTGGAGAAAATTATCTTGTCCGAATCCTTGGTTCTCATCGGGTTGGCCGCATGCTGCGGAAAGAATGTATCTCCTCGATAACCGTGCAAAAGGTCCATCGGGCTGAGGGCTTCTGTGGAGTCGAGACCTGATGCTACCGCCGTGATCGGGCGTTTATTTATCATCAGCTCGATGTTGCTCAGAATCACCTCCAGGTCCCGGAAGTGGGGAACTGATGTTCCGAGAACTTTCCTCAGCGGTCGCTTGACCGATTGCACGAGGCGCTCGTAGAAGCCGCCATGCGAAGGGGAGTTCGGAGTTATGAAGTTCCATCTGATGAATTTGTCTGCGAGCCATTTCTTTATTTCTCCGTTGATGATGTGATCGTACAGGAGTTTGAGTTCCTTTGCTGTCCTCTGGAACGATAAGCCATTGTCTGAAGTGATCGTGGTCACCGACGGGTATCGGTTCACGAATTTTTGTAGAGCACCGAGGACCTCTGAGGTCGACATGTCGGTTGTTAGCTCGAGATGGACCGCTCGGGTGACCGCGCATACGAAAAGGAGAATGTAGCTTTTCGCTTTTTCGCCTGAATCGTTCTTGTATTTTATGGGGCCGGCGAAGTCACAACCTGTGTGGTAGAATGGTGGGGCCGTTTCCAGCCTGAACGCTGGCAACGGAGCCATTGGGAGGCTTGCGGCCTGGCCGTGAAAGATTTTGCATGTAGCGCAAGAGGAGATGACCTGTCTCGCTAGTTTCCTTGCGTGAATAATGAGAAATTCTTCTCTGAGAATATGTAGAAGGCCGGAAACGCCTCCGGAGTGTAGGCATTTCTTCTCGTGGATGTATCTGACGATAAGTCTGGAGAGATTACAGTCCGCTGGGAGGATGATCGGAAATTTCTGTTCCTGTGACAACTCCGGAGCGAATTCTAGCCGAGTCCTGCAGCGGAGCAGGCCGTCATCGCCCTTGAACGGGTTGAATTGGTAGAGAATGCTCTTGGGTCTGACCCTGATGTTGTCTGAATTGATTTCTTCGGGA